GGCCACGCCATGCTACATCTCGCGACAGCTGCGGGGAACCGTAAGAGGTGCGATGTTATCCAGATTACGTTCGGTCCTTCGCGGAGTCGGACCGGTGAATGCGTTCGAGACTCTGACATAGCAGGCGCAACCTCCCGCTAGTTGCAATATGCTGACCACCTTTGCATAGCGAAACGAGGCGTTCAGCAATGCCTTTGACGTGTTGCGAGACGTGTTCTTGGTCAATACTGCTTGCACAGCAGACGGATACGACGTGACGGTCGGTGTAAGCAGGCTTTGGATCCGTAAACAGCCAATAGTGTACGTACAATATCGGAGCTGACCAGGATGGCCGCACCTATTTTCGTACCAAGCCACCGAGCTTCGCTTCAACCGCGACGGAAACGGCTACACAGCAACATGGCGTCTGCACCTACTGAACAGTTGTATCTCGTAATGCGATAGCGAAACTGATACCAGTCCTCGATCATGTAAAGGCACCGGAAATGGTCTCGTAGGGGTGGGATCAGGAGATGCATTTGGTTATCAAGCTTCGCTAAAGCTCGGCTTTGCTTGTTTATCATCTTAGACGTGGGATGATCTGCGCCATGTCATGGTGGCTTCGCTTATTCTCGTGTTTGATTAGCTGCGCGGATGAGCTCCGAGGTGTGCACCCCAGAAAGAGCCAGGATGACGCACGGCTATCCCAGAAGCTTTTGATCATCTTCCAGTCTTGCGCGAAAAGAGTCAGGGCCAAAGATTGCACTTCACCAGCAAAAGATACAGTTCAACCGGTTGTCAAAGTTAATACATTATGCATTATTGGCAGAGATACGACGCGGTGAGGCATCTGCCCTATCATCATCACACGCTAGAAGACCTCGCATTCATCCATAGATCTAATTCCGGAAAGAAATCCATCGCTTCGTCACCTACGATCCTGCTTTCCACCCGCGCCTAACTGATCACGGAGATCGGGGTTGATCTTCGCCGTTAAGTACGACGAAAATTGACCGCTTTGTCGGAACGTCTTCACCCAAGCTGGAGGTGGCGCTTTCAACGACACCTTGTTCGCTTCTTGTCGACCTGCACCAGTGCCTGGAGTCTTCAAGATACTGCGGGGCTGGTATGCTTGTTGGTCCCGCTTCTCATCGTTGCGCTGTACAGGCGTGTCCGACTTTTCTTTCACGCTGCGCCATTCCATGCCTAGAGCAGCTGGTATTGCAAGGCAAGCGATGATGAGTGCCGCAAAGAATGTCCCATGAGTCAGCGAGTCGTTGTAGGCTGCCAGTATCATTCGTTTGATTGCTGGAGTAAAACCCGTCGTCAGGTCCGTGGCTCCTGCGGCTAAGATGCGTTGAGGATTTAGACCTCCGATTCGTTCCAGGCCGGCAGAGAACTTGTCTATGTAGAGATTTTGTCCCACAGCTGTGAAGACTGCTCCACCGAGCGTCTGGAAAAGCGAGAGGACTGCCGTACCGATGGGAACATCGGGTTTATCTAGCACGGTTTGTACGGCTATATTTGGGTGCTGCATGGTGCAACCGACCCCAAAGCCCGTAACAATCTGGGTCCCGATCCAGATACTGTTGTTGGTATTCACGGACCATGTGGTGATGAGGCCGGCACCAATGGCCATGAACAGAGAGCCAAGAATCATGAAAGGAGTGTAGTATCCGATGCGCTGTACAAAACCGCCGGACATGATCGAGCCGACGACGACTGAGAGCACAAGGGGAATGGTGTTGATACCGGATTGCATGGCCGAGGCACCTTTGATGGCCTGGAACCAGAGAGGGATGTAAATGGACACCGTGAGCATGGTCGCGCCTACGCAGAACTGTGAGGCACTTCCGAATGCGACGCTCCTCTGGAAGACGATGCGTGCTGGCAACGTCGCCGTGGTGTTTCGGGTGACGAATTGCCAAAATATGAAGGCTATTAGAAGAATTATAAAGGCGATGAGAAGCGCAACGATACGTGGTGAGTTCCAACGGTACTCCGCTGCACCCCACTCTAGGGCCAACAAGAGACAGGTGATCGATGGAAGGAACAATGCGGTACCCAGCGGGTCCAGATGTTTTATCGTCTCTCCCCATGTCTCGAATTGCGGCTTCTTTTCTTCGAGGTTTAGCAAAAAACATACTGCAAGGATGGTAATGCCACCGAGTGGTAGGTTGATGTAAAAGCACCACCTGCGAGGTATAAAGTCAGTATATATCTCACATGCGATTCGTCAAAGCGTATTACTGACCTCCAAGTTGCGCTGCTGCTGGTGAACGCTCCGCCTAGCAAGGGACCAGCCACACTTGCAACGCCGAAGCATGCGCCAAAGAGACCCTGCAGCATGGGCCGCTTGGCAAGCGGCACTGTGTTGAGCATGATCAAGATCGCACCGGTGAAGATACCACTACTTCCTAGGCCTGCAATAGCGCGTCCAACGATGAGCATGTTGCTGCTGCGTGCTGCGCCGCAAACAATACTCCCCAACTCAAAAAGAAAAATGCCGGATAGGAAGACTGGTTTCGTGGGAAAGAAGGTGTATATCCTTCCGTATAGCAGAATGAAGCCGGCTGCTGTGAGCATGTACGCACTACCGTACCATCCAATGTCGCCAATGCTGTCGAATTCGTTTGTTATGGCAGGTATCGCTGGGCCGATGATGGTCCTGTCGAGAGCGACTAGGAAGATCGAGATGTATAGTGACAGCATTATGACTGCTGTTTTTGCTGTAGATGGGTATGGAGATGGCGTCGTCTTCGCTCCTCTTTGCCGTTCGATGTCAGCTACTATCGGCGGACTGAGAGGCTCATCGTTCGCCGAACTCGCATCCCAAAGATGACTTTTGTGGAAGTTTCTGTGCATGTTTTTCAGTGGTGGACTGAGAGGTGAGTCCATAACGTCGTCGTCGAATTTGAAGCTTGTGGGGGTGGAATAATTTGAGGCCTGGTATGGATCCATTATCACTGGCACATGGTCGCCGTCCTCGGATGTTGAAACTCTTCTTATCGTGTTGCGGTGTCCGGCTCCGTTCGCTTCGTTGGCCTCATTCAGCCGCAGTATTCCCTCTAACGCCATTAGAGTGCTTTCCCGAAGGAAGGGTCGAATTTCGTGTAGATCTTCTCGTAAGTTATTGGTAGTGTATGAAGTAGCGACTTCTCGTCTCTGCTGATATGGTTTTGACTGAGCCAGATCTTCTTCTCTTGCGTTGTAAGAGATATACGCGGCGGTGCCTTCTTGTGCTTCGGTGTGTGCTCGAGCAAACGCCGTTTCGCAGTTATCGGCCAAATCTTGGAGGATATTAGAGATCAGGTCGCGTTCTTCAGCATCGGTGCGCCCATGCCATCTCACTTCGGTGAGCTCATGAGTGGACGGACGAGACGATAGCGTTGATATGATGGAATAGGCTGGGCGCGCCCCTCGGAACTTCGGTATATACGGGGGAGGTGCCGCCATTGTCCCAATATCGACTGTAAGCCGTGGATATCAATCCGGAAATGTGGGGCGTGTGCGCTGAAGCCTGATATATTGCTTGCAGCCAAATGTACGAGAGGTCCAAGGTGATGAGCGAGTAACAAAATTCAGAGATATACGGCTATGGGCTATAGGGGTGAAGAGTATTATAGGCATGAGTATGCTTCAGTTCTTCGCATTAACAGTCAAAACAAGAAGCACATCTCAGTAACACATCTAGTAGACCAAGAAACATTCCGCAGTCGCATCCGCAGCACGACCAGCAAAGCGCAACGGTGCAGTAAGACGGCGATGACTTCTGACGAATGCGACGTCTTTCTCACACACCATCCACAACCTCCAAAAGCATCGGAGCGCCATCTTCTAAAACACCGACGTTGTACGGCTTGGCTCTACGCCACAAACTTTTCTTGCTCATCCGATGGCGTCTATTAATAAGAGTCTAATGGACCCTGAGCTGTCAGAGGTGGGTAGCCTCACTATCCTGCATGCTTGCACTGCAGTAACTCTCGTGTTCTGTGCAAGATTATGCAAAGTCAGCCAGCGATAGATGATCGGTGCTCGGTGATGACGCTGGGGAGCCGAGCGGTATTGCCAGATCACTGATCTCTGCCGAGACAACCTGAGCGACATTTGAGACGCCTGATGAATCGATTCCTTTGCAAGGTGAATATGATGCCAGGAATGGAACATGATGTGAAGTGACGTCTCAGCTTTTCCGAAAAGCTGGTGGACGATGTTGGCGATGAGAAAGTGGAGAAAAAGAAAGAGGGCGAGGCTTAGCGTGAGAGGAGGTACAGCTGGCGTGATAGTCTATACGCATCATCCGATCGCGATGCCTGTTTGCTTGTCCCGACCAGAACAAAGTCATCATGCAATCGTTGCAGGAGGTCTCTAATTGTAAGTACAAAGTGGCCATGGTTCGTCATTCAGACAACCCAGTCTTCACAGTGCTCTCATACTCTAGCTGCACATCGACCTGGATCCTTCGCGCAGCGCATCGTCATGACCTCGTCGTTTGGGTCTGACTCCGCGCGAAATACGTATACTTTCAACTGACCATTTCCGATGACGAAGCTTCGCCTCCTAAAGCAGAGCAGTTCTGGATGCGAAACTTCAATGTGGAGGATCCCCATGATCTTCTCAAGGGGGCCCACTTGAGGCAAACAAGCCCTACCCGTAGTGCCCTCAATGCATACTCACCAAAAGACGCAGGTACAGTTTCAAAGACACCTAGCTTTGCGAACTTGCAGCTAGTTTGCGGGGTGCATTGATGTTCAACAGGGGCACAGTGGAGATTGCCGCAAAAGCAAACGGCGCCCCTGAGCCAAGAATGGCAAGAAAGATTGGCAAAAGCAAAATTGGGACGACGAGCCTATGCTGCGACATGACGCAGGGCAAAGTATTTTACAATGAGTTCACGATAGACATCAAAAAGGGGGGTACAGCTCACTTGTCATCCTTTAAGTTGATGCAGGTGCCATGATGAACAGGCTGTGAGATCACAACATCGAACACGTAATGAAAACAGTGATACCGGTATCAGGTACGAAGAGAACCATATCATTGGATGGACAGCTTACGAGTTGGGGAATTCCCTAACAACGTGATGACTGCTAAGGCATTGGAGGAGAGTACATGTTCCCTAATGAGCGTCCTTCCGTCCTTCAAATGATCTTTAATATGCGCCAGATACCCTTTCACCACCATCTTGTCTCACCACAAGAGAGTGTGCCGGATTGCGGTATCGTTGCCGGTGCCATGGGAACAGAGAGGCCCACTGATCACTGAGGGTGATCTTCGTCCCACTCAGCTACCTTGTCGTCATATAGTCCTGAGATGTCTTCGAAGCACAAGACGAGATGTTTGTTGCACATTGCAACTGTTCCGTAAACCTCGAACTCTTTCTCTGTCATGTCGGAAAGCGTGAAGACTTTCTTGGTGTCTGAGGCGGCTACACGGAGACACTTGACCATGCCGCGTTCGAGCATGTTGGTCCTCAAGACGGGCCTCTCCAAGGGGTCGGCAAGAGGCCAGCTCTCGCTGGACAACTTGTGCTCATCTAGAGCCTTCTGGGCGCATTCGACGAGGGCTTGTTGGCATTGTGTGAACCTGACGTCCTTAAGCGGGGTCGTACCGATGGAAGACTGGCTGGCGATTGGAGTTGGGTCAACCCCGTACTGCTTGTTGCACGCTAAAAGGTCTTGTTGAAGTGTATACTCTCTGTACCTCGCCTGCGGTTCTTGGGGGTCGTTTGCGGAGAGGACAAAGGTGTTAGCATCTAAGTTGTCCATAGCGGTTTGTTCATCGCTCAAGGAATCTTGTCGAGCAGCCTGGGACGAATCAGTAATCATCACCCTTGAAGTGGAAAGAACTGCTGACTACAGGAACGAAAGTGGCCGCGGATGCATGCGCTTCAGACGCAGCGTTGGCGGTCTGCTAAAGTATGAGTGTCAGAATGGAACCACAAGATAGTAGATAGCGAAGTCATACAATTACGCGTCAAAAGTTTTGCAACGCTAGCGCCAAATCTCTCCCCCACCATCACCACCACCACAACAACAACCCACTATAACTATGTCAACACCGCGTATTTTTGGACGTGAGATATCGCAAAATGTACGGCGTAAGCCAAATATGAGTCTTGCCGAGCGCAATATAGCCATCGGGATGTGGAAAGCTGGCTGTACGATGGTAGAGGTGGCGGACGCGTGCGGGCGCTCGAAATCCACCATATCGCGCCTTATCAAGAAGGCCACCACAACGGGCACAACAGAAGACAAACCACGCAGCGGACGTCCCCAAAT